GTATAAAATCAAGCACCTAGGCATGCAGACTGCTTCTACAAACATTTGTGAAAGAATGGGTCGCTCTCAGGAGCTCAGTGACTCCAAGCGTGGTCCCGTGATAGGTGGCCACCTGTGCAATAAGTCCATCCGTGACATTTCCTGGCTACTAAATATTCCACGGTCAGCTGTTAGTGGGATTATAACAAAGTGGAAGCAACTGGGAACAACAGCAACTCAGCCATGAAGTGGTAGGCCACGTAAAATGGCAGAGCGGGGTCAGCGCATGCTGAAGCGAACAGTGCGCAGAAGTCACCAACTGTCTGCAGAGTCAATAGCTAAAGACCTCCAAACTTCATGTGGCCTTCAGATTAGCACAACAACAGTGCGTAGAGAGCTTCATGGAATGGGTTTCCATGGCCGAGCAGCTGCATCCAAGCCTTACATCACCAAGTGCAATGCAAAGCGTCAGATGCAGTGGTGTAAAGCACGCTGCCACTGGACTCTAGAGCAGTGGAGACGTGTTCTCTAGAGTGAAGAATCACACTTCTGTCTTGCAATCCGGTGGATGTGTCTGGGTTTGGCAGTTGCCAGGAGAATGGTACTTGCCTGACTGCATTGTGCCAAGTGTAATGTTTGGTGGAGGGGGGATTATGGTGTGGGGTTGTTTTTCAGGGGTTGGGCTTGGTTCCCTAGTTCCAGTGATGTGAACTCTTAAGGCGTCCGCATACCAAGACATTATACACAATTGCATGCTCCATAAAGCACAGTGGCTAAATGGTTAGCACTTCCACCTGGCAGTACGGTCATTGATTTGAATCCCAACCACGGCACCACCTGCCTGGAGTTCGCATGTTCTCCCTGTGCCTTCGTGGGTTTTCTCCGGGTACTCCGATTTCCTCCCACACTCCAAAGACATGCTGGTAGGTGAATTGGATCCTGTCTAAATTGTCTCTAGTATGTGTATGTATGAATGTGAGCTAGGGACCTTAGATTGTACACCCCTTGATGGTTATTGACTGATGTGAATGTACAGTGTGTGTGTGTGTGTGTGTGTGTGTGTGTGTGTGTGTGTGTGTGTGTGTGCAAAGCACTGCATAAATTGACAGTACCTGCAAAAAATAAATACATTTGCGAGTTTGCGGTGGAGGAATTTGACTGGCCTGCACAGAATCCTGACCTCAACCCGATAGAACACCTTTGGGATGAATTAGAGAAGGCCTGGCTCACAGTCTCCACTCTAACTGGTGCCTAACCTCACAAATGTGCTTCTGGAAGAATGGTCAAACCTTCCCATAGACACCCTCCTAAACCTTGTGGACGGCCTCCCCAGAAGAGTTGAAGCTGTTATAGCTGCAAAGGGCGGGCCAACTCAATATTGAACCCTACGGACTCAATACTGTTCAGCAGGGACTAACCGAGATTCAAACCATCTGTGGCTGGCATTAGTGAACACTATGAGCACATTAGAAGCAGGTATGGAGCTAGTAATAAAGCTTTTGTTTTATTTAAAAACAAACATACTGTAAGATTTCTCTCTAGAGAATCCCAAGCCTTGAAAATAAACTTTAAGAATATATTTTCTGGTGTAGTTTGGCATTGGTGATCGGAGAGAAAAAGGGAACCCCTTATATTGGTGGTCATTGGGAAGAGGAACCTCTTACATTGGTAATCAGAGAGGAAGAGTGGGCTCACATTGGTGAGGATTGTAGAAGGGTCCCTTCATATTGGTGGACAGTGGAGAAGGGTCCCCTTCCATTGCTGCTCAGTGGAAAGGGCCCATTTACATTGGTGGCCAGTGGTGAAGGGCCCCCTTACATTGGCGGTCAGGGAGGAAGAGTGGGCTTACATTGGTGGTTAGTGAAGAAAGGCTGCTTTACATTGGCGGTCAGTGGAGAAGAGATCCCTTCTATTTCTAGTCAGTGAAGAAGGACCCACTTACATTGACGTTCAGTGGAGAAGGATCCACTTACATTGACGGTCAGTGGAAAAAGACCACATGACATTGGTGGTCAGAGCAGAAGGGCCCAATCGCAGGAGGATCCCTTCTATTGCTGGACAGTTTAGAAGGACCCGATAACATTGACAGTCAGTGGAGAAGGACCCCCTTACATAGACCGTCAATGTAGAAGGACCCCCTTATAATGACGGTCAGTGGAGAAGGGCCTGCTTACATTGATGGTAGTGGAGAAGGACCTGCTTGTATTGACGGTCAGTGGCGGTTAGGCAAGAAGCGTGGGCTTAGTTTGGTGGTCAGTGAAGAAGGGCCACTTTACTTTGGCAGTCAGTGGAGAAGGGATCCCTTCTATTTCTGGTCAGTGAAGAATGACCCGCTTACATTGACGGTCAGTGGAGAAGGACCCACTTACATTGACGGTCAGTGGAAAAAGACCTCATGACATTGGTGGTCAGAGCAGAAGGGCCCAATCGCATTGGCAATGATTGAAGAAGAGTGGGCTTTTGCTGCTGGTCAGTGAGGAATGGTCCATTTACATTGCTGGTCAGTGGAGAAAGACCCCTTTACATTATCGGTCAAAGCAGAAGTTCCAGCTTGCATTGGTGATCCATGGAGATGTTCAACTTGTATTGGCAGTCTGAGGAGAAGGGTGTGCTTACATTGGAGCTCAGTGGAGAAGGTCCCGCTTACATTGGTAGTCAGTGGAGAAGGACCCCTTTGCATTGGCAACCAGGGCAGAAGCACCTGCTTGCATTGATGGCCAGTGGAGAAGGGCACCCTTACATTGACAGCCAGTGGAGAAGGGCCTCTTTACATTGGGAATCAATGAAGAAGGTTCCTTTGTACAGTGATGTTGGGTTCAAGAAAGATTGCCCCTTACACTGGGGATCAGAAGCAAGAACACCCCTTTTAACAGCAGCTAAAAAGTTCATTGTTGTCAGTGGTTACTTGGTTGAAAGTCATGAGCGGCTCCACTGATTCTATGTTGCTGGCTCTCTGAGTGACATGGGTGCTCAAACTATACAAGCAGCGCAGGAAAAGGACTCTGTCATTACTAGAACCTCTCTGGCAGAACTCTAAGGTATCACGGAATTCGGAATGAGAAGGGCTTGTATGTGATGCTGAGTGACCTGAAAAATGCAGACGCAGGTCTATGGAGCCCCCTATTGGTGCTAATGACTAATTGCAGCTTCTGATGCAGAAATCCTAAAATTATCACTGAGCACTGGCTATGTCTGTTGTTTCCAATGAAAGTCTGTATGTGGAGGCAGGGGTGGACTGACAACTCATGGGGCCCCCGGGCAATAGGGGATTATGGGGCCCCTGTGTCCTTGCCCAAACTCAAAAAAGCCTATGAAAAAGGTACCATGGGCATCTCATGGGGCCCCCTAATGACCCCAGGCCCTCGGGCAGTGCCCGAGTTTCCAAATGGTCAGTCCGCCCCTAGACCTATGTCTCATACCTTGAGGTATAAATCGCCCCTCTGTTAGCTAATCCTTAGTTGAGCTCTGCACAGCTGCTACTATTGCCATGATTTGTTGGTAGATGGCAACTGTTTTCTATACCCTACTTCAAAATGTTAAACACCTTTTAAAAAAAAAAAAAAATATGCAAATCTCATAAAACCCATATTTTGTTCACAATAGAATGCTTATAAAATGTTGAAACAAAGAAAATGTACCACGTCTCAACAAAAGTTGGGGCGGGGCCATGCTTACCAAGATGTAGCGTCCCCTATTCTTTTACCAACACTCTGTAAATATCTGGAAACTGTGTACAAATGCACCCCCATACCATCAAGGATGCAGGCTTATGAACTGAGCACTGATAACAAGCTGGGAGTTCCCTCTCCTCTTTAGTCCAGAGGATGCGGCGCCCATGGTTTCCAAAAAAGAATGTCAAATTTCGATTAATCTGACTACCAACAGCCATTTTATATGAGCTTTGGCCCAGCGTTTCTTGATCTTGTTCATATATGGCTTCTTCTTTGTATGATGGAGCTTACCTTGCATTTTTGGATGGCGTGCCAAACTGTGTTCACAGACCGTGATATTTGGAAGTATTCCTGAGTCCATGCAGTGATGTCCATCACAGAATCATGTCTGTTTTTAATGCAGTGCCATCCGAGGGCCCCAAGATCATGGACATTCAGTATTGCATTTTGGCCTTGTCCGTGGTGCAGAGATTTCTCCAGATTCTCAGAATCTTCTTTATTATGTACTGTAGATGATGATATATTTGTGTGGTTATACTCTTACAAGTCAAGGAATCCGAGGTACTGAGAAGGGTGGGTCATAGGCAGATGTCTTCAGTCTAGCTGACAATGCTGCTTGAAATTTCAGTACAGCAGATGCTGTGTTGTAAGCTCAATCAAGGAGCCCACTGGATTTCTGGCAGATCAGTAGGTCAGTTCACAGTAATACAGTTTCTGACTTATGGCGACAACGCTCACCCACTGTGATGTATTTATGGAGGAGCAACATTTTCACCCTAGGACAGAAAGTGTGTTAGGACCAGGGGCGGACTGACCACTTGGAAACTCGGGCACTGCCGAGGCCCCCGGGGTCAGTAGGGGGCCCCATGATATGCCCCTGGTACCTTTTTCATAGGCTTTTTTTAGTTTGGTCAAGGACACAGGGGCCCCATGATCCCCTATTGTCAGTCCGCCCCTGGTTAGGACTGCCCCTACCCTCCTCTCTATAACACTGGGGAGGTGATTTGAAGTCAGAGATGGCTGGGAACAGTGAAACTGGTAACAGTCAGCAGATGCACAGGTAGTTATCAACTAGCAACATGGTTTTTTTGGTTTTTTTTTTTTTGGTTTTGGTTTTTTTGGTTTTTTTTATTTGGTTTTGGTTTTTGGGTTTTTGTTTTTGGTTTTTGGTTTTTTTTTTTTGGTTTTTTTTTTTTGGTTTTTTGGTTTTGTTTTTTTTTTTTGGTTTTTTTGCACTCATCAAACATAAGAGTATATTTAACAGTTCAAAGGGTAGCAAATAAGAAATCAATTTTAAGGTTTATATATGTTTTGTTACTGTTAATACAGTATTCACGCTTTTCATTTCAGCTTGCACCAGAAAACACAATATTGTCTTTTAAAAAGGCGCTAGAACACAAAACTTATGGCCTGGAGGCAGATGTCATGGTAAGGTAAGGAAGTACAACAGGCAAATGTGTCTTTGTATATTGATTCTTTACAGAAACACAGGACAGCGCATTCACCACTGTGTCTATTCCTAGAAAAATCCCATCTCTCTAGAACATAAAGTAGTGACATGGCTGCCCCCTGCACTGACAACCTCTCATTCTTCCCTAAAGGAAATATAAACCCAAGAACAAAAATGTACAATATTACAGCTTATCAGTCCTTAGGTATGGTGGATGCTTTAGTTTTCTTTTTTTTCAGAATAAGAACAAGTACAGAAAAATTCAAACAATTGTAGGTGGGCTGAAATGCTGCTGGTTCAGCAGGGACCGGACGAATTTCGATCCATCTATGGCCGATTGTGTTAGTGAGAAATTGATTTAATGATACTAAAAATGTCAAGATTCAAAATTGCACACGCCTGTGAAATGGCGACAAACTGTTACCCTAAAACAACCGTAGGTGACTCTTTAAAAGCCATTACAGCTTTTCCGTTTTTAGAGTTAAACGAGCGCATTTGGCATTAGCATTGGAATGCTATGTCAATAATCAGAATGCTATGGCATTAGAATTATTATAGTCCTCTTCCACTGCCCCGATTTGCTTTTACAAGAAAGCCACTAAAAGTAAAAATGACACGCACACACTTACTTTTTCCCTCTTCCTGATTTTTTTTTATTTTTTTGCGTATTTGTCACACCTAAATGATTCAGATCATCAAACAAATGGTAATATTAAACAAAGATAATCTGAGTAAATACAAAATGCCATTTTTAAATGATGATTTCATTTATTAACCTCCTCGGCGGTATGATTATTTCCGATTTTTTTGTGCTGAAAGCGGTACCATTTTTTTGCATGGAAATATGTAGTTTTTTATTGTAGGCTGTTATTTTTAGGAATAACTCACTGAAATCTGTCCGAACAAGAGTCTAGTAAACATCCCGGGTATGATAAAATTTGAAACACGAAATCATAAATTATAATTTAATAAATAATCATAAAAAAAAATATAATATAAAATTTAATTCAATAATATAATCAAACCAAAAACACTGAAATTTGAAATACAGAGGCAAGTTCGCACATCGCTGAGCAAAGTCGCAAAATCGTTTTCAGTGTCTGATGACGAATTTCCCCACGAATCATTACTCAATTCTGCAAGTGGTTCTGATTCTCTAGCCAGTCTAAACCCGCTTTTGACGTAAAGGAACGCTTTTTGGACGCCATGGACTTTTCTAAGTTTCCAGGCAGAAAGAACAGTCAAAATGCAGCCAGGGCACAGGACAAAGCAGTAGGGACAAAATGTATGTGAAATGCATTGAAACAGCAATGTTTTACTATGTAATAATCATTTTTTAAAAATACATTTTTAAAAAATTTCAAATTTGCCGCCGGTTCCGGTGCCCGTACGTTCCGACGTCACAGGGACCGGAAGCCGGATGCCGGCATCGGCCGGAGGAGATGGCTGGAGACGCTGCAGGGGACACATTGCGGGAGCGAAGGACAAGGTAAGTGCTGCAGGGACTCCCTGAGCAACGCCGCATGGTAAGCCTGAGTGTAGCTCGGGGTTACTGCTCTTGGTACTCAAATTTTACCCCGAGCTACACTCGGGAATACCGCTAAGGAGGTTAAGGGAAAAAAAGACATCTCAAACTCCTCTTTAAACAGGTTGTTCATGCTTGAAAACCCTCCAATGTGGCTGAATTCAAACAATTTTTACACAGAGTGTGCCAAAGTTCCTCCACAGCGATATGAAAGACTTGTTATCACAAACACTTGATTGCAGTGTTGCTCCCGCCGCCAAGGATGGCACTACAAGTTATTAGGTTTAGGAGGCAATTACTTTTTTACATAGGGCCAGGCAGGTTGTGGACAGCTTTTTTTTCCCTTAATTTTATCCCTTAATGAAATCATTTAAAACTGCATTTTGTGTTTACTTGGATTATCTTTGTGTAATAAAATTTGTTTGATAATCTGAATCATTTAAGTGTGACAAATATGCAGAAAAAAAAAATCAGGAAGGGGGCACGGCCCCACGTTTCTCAAATATATTTCTAAAGGTACTATTGATATGACATTTTCACCACATGTCGGTAACGACCCACGCAATCCATACATACAAAGAAACCAAAGCAAATAAGTTCAGAAAGTAAGGTGTATATATAATACAATGGGATGACACAGGGAAAAAGTATTGAACACATGATAAAAGGGGGGGTGCAAAAAGGCATGGAAAGCCAAGACACCAGCTGAAATCTATCAGTAATTAAAAAGCAATCCTGCCCCTTGTCAGTGCAAATTAATATCAGCTGGTTCAGTCTCAACTGATGGCCTATAAAAAGGTATCTCACTACCAAGGTATCACACATCACCAGGGGCGGACTGACCATTTGGAAACTCGGGCACTGCCCGAGGGCCCGGGATCAGTAGGGGGCCCCATGAGATGCAAATAAAAGTGGCCACCTGCCCAAGTCTATAACTGGCTTATGAAGCAAGGACACATAAACAGGCATCACATAGTGAATAAAGGGGAGAGAACAATGTTCTTGGACAACTTGCCAGCCAGCTTGCTAACAACCGAATTAACCTGTCTAACAGTATGCGTTTATAACAGGGGTTTAGTTAGCACACATTTACAAATACATACGTAAGCCACAAGGCCACGTCACGGCACCCTGATAATCTGTGGTCCTAACTCTACAATTTGAGAGTCCCCATAATAGAGGCACATGCATTTAATGGATAGATCAAGGGCAGGTGAACCTGAGGGAGCCCACCCCTCTTAAAGGAAAGGGAGTGCACTGGACCCCAGCATGTAGCACAATGGCAACCAGGGTCCTAGTGCACCCACTTACCAAAACTCCAACATGCAAATAAAAGTGGCCACCTGCCCAAGTCTATAACTGGCTTATGAAGCAAGGCCCCATGAGATGCCCCTGGTACCTTTTTTTTTGAGTTTGGTCAAGGACACAGGGGCCCCATGATCCCCTATTGCCCGGGGGCCCCATGAGTTGTCAGTCCGCCCCTGCACATCACATGATGGGTAAAAGCAATGAGATTTCTCAAGTTCTTTGCAACTGTTGGAGCCATAACCGGGAAGTGGAAAAAACATAATTTCACCATAAACCGGCCATGACCAGGTGCTCCTTGCAAGATTTCTGATAGAGGAGTGAAAAGAATTATCAAAAGAGTTGTCTAAGAGGCAAGGACCACTTGTGGAGAGCTTCTGAAAGACCTGGAATTAGCAGGTACAGTTGTTTCAAAGAAAACAATAAATAACGCACTCTATCGCGATGACCTGTATGCACATGCACCATGAAAGACTCCTTTGCTGAAAAAAAAGCATGTTGAAGTTCGTTTAAAGTTTGCTGCATAACGTTTAGACAAGCCTGTAAAATACTGTGAGAATATAGTCTGGTCAGAGGAGATCAAAATTGAACTCTTTGGAGGCCATAATACACACCATGTTTGGAGGTCAAATGGCACTGCACATCACCCCAAAAACACCATCCCAACAGTGAAGCATGGAGGTGGGAACATCATGGTGTGGGACTATTTTTCAGCATACGGTACTGGCAAACTTCACGTCATAGAAGGAAGGATGAGTGGAAAAATGTACCAAGACGTTCTTGATATTAATCTGCTGCCATCTACCAAGACGATGATGAATCGAGGGTGGACATTTCAGCAAGACAATGATCCCAAACTCAAAGCCAAGGTAATTCTCAATTGTTTTCAAAGAAGATAAAGCAGCTAGAATGGCCCGGCCAATCACTTGACTTGACTTGAATCCAATAGAAAATCTATGGAAAGAACTAAAGATCATTTTAGAGGCCCACAGAACTTTCAAGACTTAGACTGTGTGGAAGAATGGGCCAAAAATCACACCTGAGCAATGCATGCGACTAGTTTCTCCATACAGGAGGCGTCTCGAAACTGTCATTACCAACAAAAGATTGTGTACCAAGTATTAAATACATTTCAGTTAGCGTGTTCAATACTTTTTCACAGCGCCGTTCTATTTTATTACACATAACTTAATTTCTGAACTTGGGTGCGTTGTTACCGGCATGTGGTGACAATTTCATGTCGGTAGCATTTAGAAATATATTTACTGAGAAAAACGGTGACGTGTTCAATACTTATTTTACCTGCTGAATAATAAATTTTAAAAAAAAATAAATAAAATAAATATATATATATTATAATATATATATATATATATATATATATATATATATATATATATATAAATAATATATTCATCAGCCACTTTATTGGGTACACCTTGCTAGTGCCAAGAAAATATCCCCACACCATCACACCACCATCTTGAACCGTTGATAGAAGGCAGGATCCATGCTTTCATGTTGTTTTTTTGAGTTGAGCTACTGTTGCCTTTCTGTCATCTCGAACTAGCCTGCCCATTCTCCTCTGACCCCAGCAAGGCATTTTCATCCACATACCTGTCGCTCACTGGATAATTTCTCTTTTTCGGACCATTTTGGCTTTCATGTCGTTTACACAAAATTCTGACCCCACCATCTGAATATCGCAGCAATCAGTCTGCCCATTCTCCTTTTTTTTTTTTCTTTTTTTTTTTGTCCACACAACTGCTGCTCACTGGATATTTTCTCTTTTTCGGACCATTCTCTGTAAACCCTAGAGATTGCTGTGCGTGAAACTCCCAGTAGATCAGCAGTTTTTGAAATAGACCACCCAAGCTGGCACCAACAACCATGCCATGTTCAAAGTCACTTAAATCCCTTTTCTTCCCCATTCTGATGTTTGGTTTGAACTTCAGCAAGTCGTCTTTGCCATGTCTACATGCCTAAGTGCATTGAGTTGATGCCATGTGATTGGCGGATTAGCAATTTGTTACCAAGCAATTGAACAGGTATACCTAATAAAGTTGTGAGTGTTTATATAAGCTGTGGCTGCATTGCATTACTCACCTTGAATCCAGAGCTCTGTATTTTTTTTGCATTGTGTTGCTGTGGAGTTTGGATGGAAGATAAAAAAAAAAGCCTAAAAATACAGCTGGCAGGGTCTTGGGAGAAGGGTGGTGTCGGCAGAGCACGGATCATGGAGTTGGGCTCTAAACAATCCTTTTTCATGAATTTGCCCTGACAAGTGTTGTGTCCTTTCCTCCAGCCATGATGGGATTCCATTTCTCATGCATGATAGCACACTCCGACGAACCACGAACATCGAACGAGTCTTTCCTGAGTTGGCCTCCGAACAATCATCCATGCTTAACTGGACCATCCTTGAGAGACTGAACGCCGGGGATTGGTTTCTGAAGGTAACAAGACAATGGGGCTGATTTACTAAAACTGAAGAGTGCAAAATCTGGTGCAGCTGTGCACGGTAGCCAATCAGATTCTAACTTCAGCGTGTTCAATTAGGCTTTGACATTAAATTCTGGAAGCTGATTGGTTTCCTGCAGATCTGCACCAAATTTTGCACTCTCTAGTTTTAGTAAATCAACCCCAATGTGTTATTTTTTAACTGGCAATGCCTCTGGTGCCAACACCTCCATTTCTTCAAATGACGGCAGCAGTAATTTAAAGCAGTAGTAACCTCAAAAGCAATCATTTTATTATGTGTCAGCTTACAGATTCTTAGATGTGATGGCTGAATTTAGGTTTTCTTTCCTTTTTATATTCACCTGGTGATCCTGCCAGTAAGTCTGTTGCATTTCAACAGAACAAGCTGTCCTGCAGGTGTATCAGTTAGGCCCCTTTCACACGAGCGGATCGATGGGGTTTGCCTGTCCGTTTTTCAGGCCGACTCAATCGGTCCATCCATAGAATTCTATGGACCAGCAGGTGTCGGCAGACAATCCGCAAACATCCAATACGATCCTGTAGGCCAAAAAACAGACGAATGGGGATCCATTCCTCATCCGTCTGATCGGATGACAATCGCGTGGATATGGACAGGCGGTCAGTTTCCATCCGACTGTCCCATTGAAATCAGCGGGCAGTGTCTGTGTCCAGGGGTGCATTTACCACAAGGCAAACAAGGCATTTGCCTAGGGCGGCATTTTTCAGGGGATTCAGCACTGCCCCTTGGAAGAAGGGACAGAAGAAGGGACACATGTGGCATGGGGACCTGGTGGGTTCCAAGAGATGCTGTGGGTTCATGACGGTGGATGCACAGCCCGACTCTCGTTCCTGGGGATGTCCGGAGCTGTGAAGGTGAGTGGCTTTCTCTCTCTAGCCATGGGGGATGGTGGCTGGTGTATGGGGGCAGTGGTAGTGGAAGGCTCGGGGAGAGGGCAGGGGTGTTCTTGGTCAGGCCCTTTCTGCGGGGGGACGCAAATTTTTGTGTTGCCTAGGGCAGCACAAAACCTAAATACACCACTGCCTGTGTCCTCTCTGCAGCAGCAGAGCGGACAAAGACCTGTCGTCTGCCTGCTCAGCGGAGATCAGCGGAGGGGCCTTACACCTCCATCATTTAACACTGATAGAGGTGTTTACAATGATCAGCTTTTATTTATTTATGTAAAATCTTCATCCCAAAAAGAAAAAAAACTGCTGTAACTGCATATAAAGTGTGATCTGGAGTTTAGCCTCAATTTATTAAATTAAATCTGCTAGTCCATCTAACACTCCCATCCCACCAGATTAGGAATGCTGCTGTTCAGAAATGCCCCCTGTGCTCAGTGGCGTCCCGGGGCAGGTGCAGGGGGTGCGCGCCGCACGGGCTGAAAACAGACCCGCGTCACGAAAAGGTAAGTTGTAAAGCAAGCCGACGATCCCCTCAGGATGGATCCAATCCATCCTGCGGCGATCGTCGGCTTTCTTTACATCTTACCTTTTCTTGGCGCAGGTCCAGTGTCACCCCGTATAGGTTGCATGCCGATGATCCCCGCAGGATGGATTGGATCTACGGATTGGGAAGCATAATGGATCAGAGTCTGATCCATTATGCTCAATCTACAGATCCGATCCATTCTGCGGAGATTGTCGGAGGGGGTGTCACCGGGTGACACCAAGTCTAGGGACGCCCCTGCCTGTGCTTAGTCATCCAGAGTGGGGGCACTTTAATATATGAGGTGTTACTGGGCAGATTACCAGGTGAAAACACAGTGGGGGAAAAAAAGCTTAAAGGAAAATGAATGCAGCCACCATATCTAAGGATTAGTAAACTGCAATAAATTACATTTTTGGTTTTGTTTATGACCACTTTAATCCTCAGGCATGATCATATTTAGGCCATCGAGTTGAATGTTGTTTCAAAGTGCAGCCACTATGCCCACTTCCCTGTGTATTGCTGGGAGTTTGTATTAGACATGGGTTCTTCGGAGCAAAAATCAGCCGTGCCGGTAGATTGGGGCTGCCATGGCACAGAGGGAAGTACAATGTAAGTCACATTACCAACCTCCTGTAAAGAAAAGCTGTTAGTTTGTCTTTTCAGCAGAAAGGGCTGTACCGTGATTCACAGCCATGCACACAATAAAGTTGAGCTAAACCCAAGAACAAAAATGTCATATATTGCATCAGTTTTGGTTTCTGCATTTAAAGCGAAACGTCACTCTGTCAATCAACATTGACTATTTTTAATCCTTATGCTGCTATTAGTAAATAGATAGGAAAGTATATTATATTTACTTGTTTTAAACAATTTATTCCGTTTCTTCTGTTACTTCCTGGATTCTTGCCTAGGCAAATGATGTCATACATTCCAGGAGTCTTCTGGAAGGGAGGAGGAGTTTTCACAGCTGAGCACACTCTCCTGCATGTATGCCTGAGCTAAGGGCAGCTGGATTCCAGGAAGTCAATGCTGCATGAATCATCTGCCCTTATTCAAGATGGCCACTGCCAGAAATGCTAGGGCGTGTTTTTCAAAGTGATTTCTTAGCAAATCGAGCATGGAGACATGGATGGATGGGGGAGTTTGCTTTGAATCAGGGGCGGACTGACCATTTGGAAACTCGGGCACTGCCCGAGGGCCCAGGATCAGTAGGGGGCCCCATGAGATGCCCCTGGTACCTTTTTCATAGGCTTTTTGAGTTTGGGCAAAGACACGGCCCCATGATCTCCTATTCCCGGGGGCCTCAGTCCGCCCCTGCTTTGAATTTTATATTAGCGGTTTTGCCTGTGGTGCTCAGATACAGTGTAGTTCCGCTTTGTTTTTTTGTTTTTTTTACCCCCCTTTATTTTGACCTGGTGATGCACTCCTGCCCTAAGCTAACAAAGCTCACTCACTGTACTCTGTATATGGAGTAGCAGTATTTTCACCCTAGGACAGGAATACATACTGTCCCCCCTCTTTTCATCTTCATTAATATACTGAGGAGATATTTTCTAGCTCGTAGAGCTGAACTTGACCCCTTCTTCTTTTCGGCACTGTCACACTTTGACCAAACAGTAGGGATGCGTCGATATCAGTGCCGATAATGAGTATTTTCATGAGTACTCATGAAAATACTCCCGATACCCTAACTGATAGTTGCATCCATTAATAGCATGCGATTTGAACAGGAATGCGATCAGACGGCATCTGATTGGCCAAGCACTGTGCAGCCTATAGGCCAAAAAGGTGCTGAAAATAAATTCATATCCATTTAAATTCATGATATTAATTAAAAAGTAAAATATAATACAAATAAAAAATATTTTTTGAAAAAAACACTCCATTTTGATTTTGGTGTTCGGACAAATGCATCCTTAATTTTCGGTTTCGGTCCAGAATTTTCATTCCTGTACATCACTATAACCCTCCCTTGTGCTATCCAAAATAAAAAACAAATTTTGCCTTTTAGCTCTGCTTTATCAAGTCATCAAGGTAGAGATGTTAAATGGCGTACATGGAAGGCAGATGGTTTCAAAAGGGCTCCACCCTTGTTCAGGGATGGTTGTTTCATTTTACGTAGCCGGCTTCTTTCATGCATCTTGCCAATCAGTTGTCTTCTCTGTCCAAAATGTACCTCACTGTCTGCCTTTTGTGCTTCTTTAAACTTTAGACCGACCCCTTCTGGACAGTCAGTTCCCTTTCCCCCGTTGATGTCACTGTGGCTGGGAACCAATCCGTCTGCAGGCTGACTGAGCTCTTGGAGTTGGTGAAGGAAAGTAACGCGTCCATCCTACTGAAAGTCCACTCTGTCCCATCTGACCATCCTCACTATGGAGATTATATTAACATTACTGTCAACACCGTCCTACATTCTGGAGTTCCACAGCAGCAGGTGAGTGTCATTGTGTCTCAGTGTCCATGCAAGACCTACCCAGCCTCAGATCAGCTCTAGGTGCAGACATTTTGGCTGATGACATGGCTTTTGTAGACTTTGTAATGTCTGCCACTGCTAGTTTGAAGGTGTTGGAATTATGGTACAGGAAAGTGATAAATCTAGAAGAGATTGTACAATCACCTTCAATCGCTATATAGGCCTCCCTGGACGGACACAGACAGGAGTCTTGAGGAGATACTTATCGTTGTGCTTTAGAAATGTATTTTGTGCTCTGCTGGCTTTGGGACCGCAAAGATGGTGGCATACTTTTCTTGTGAATGGAGTAGTGTGGTGTAGGGCAGGTTTGGGTATTTGTGTGTCTTCTGACTTCTTAGGAGATACTTTCTCAACATTTTTAACACTGAGAAACACTTGAAATAAGTGTAAGGTCTCAGGGAACTCTTTCTAAGATTAATCCTTAGGTGGTCATTAGGAAAATACCCTTTACATTGGTGATCAGTGGAAAGAATGCCCCATCTACAGTCATGGTTGGAATGCCATCCTTACAACAGCTAATTGAAATTGTCGTTGGCACCATCAAATGGGAGGCCAGCTAAAGGAACCCCCTTGAAACTCTTGGAGGAACCCTGGTTGAAAGTTTGTTTTAAATATTAATGCACATCAATCTCTAGACTTTAATCAGAATGGCGTGAAAAACAAAAACCATGCAGTGTGGTAGAGAGGTAGCCTTGTGAACCGAAATGTCTTTATAAGGACAATGAACCAGACTGGTTCAAGCAAATAGAAGGGCTCTAGTAACTCAGATGAACGCTTTTTATAACAGTGGTGAGCATGTTGAACTAGATAGTGTGGATGTCACAAGTTAGCGTGCAGTTTCTTGTTTGATTATTCTTGCCTCATTGCTGCAGTGCTGTTCCTGATCCCTTTCACGTGTGTTTGTGCTCACCTATGGACGTCATCTGCTATTCTCTGGGTTTTATTTCCTTCCCTTCCATCACTTCCTGGCTCGCCTCCTTGTTTGCCTGCCTATATAAGACATGCTCAGACTAGGCCACTTTACCTGAGCAACTTCCTAGTTGTCGGAGCTCCTGTGTGTTGCTTTCTCCTGCATACTGCATTGACTACTCGTGTACCAACCCCGGCTTCGTTCTCTGACTGTGCTTGTTTTCCGCCTGTCCTGACCTCGGCTAGTCTGTCGGATTTCTGTTTGTCTCCTCCCATTGTACTCTGCTCCCGCAAACGGTCTCCTTATCCTCAGCTGGGCGTACCTCATTGCTGCAGTGCTGTTCCTGATCCCTTTCACATGTGTTTGTCTGTGCTCACCTATGGGCGTTGTCTGCTATTCTCTGGGTTTTATTTCCTTCCCTTCCATCACTTCCTGACTCGCCTCCTTGTTTGCCTGCCTATATAAGACATGCTCAGACTAGGCTAGTTTGCCTGAGCAACATCCTAGTTGTCGGAGCTCCTGTGTGTGTTGCTATCGCCTGTATCCTGCATTGACTACTCGTGTACCAACCCCGGCTTCGTTCTCTGACTGTGCTTGTTTTCCGCCTGTCCTGACCTCGGCTAGTCTATCGGATTTCCGTTTGTCTCCTCCCATTGTATTCTGCTCCCGCAAACGGTCTCCTTATCCTTAGCTGGGCGTTCCCAGGGGCCGCGAGATGGTCCCAGCTTGCTGCAAGTCCATGCCCACCATCAGGTGCTCTGCTGAAGAAGCAGGCTGGGGCTTAGACTCCGTGCCCTGGAGAACCCTGAGTTGGTGGTCTACAAGGACTCACTACCACAGGTTTGTGGCAGTGGGATTTTCAGGGTGCAAATTTTGAATGATAGACCGATTTTAAAAACCACAATAAATTTTATTTAATCTTACAGTAAAAAAAAAAAAAAAGGGGGGGGGGGGAAAGAGAGTAAATCATTACAATACAGTAAAAACAAAAATTGAAGCTTGGCTGTATTGTTGCAGTAATTCCCTACATTTTTCGCCCAACAAGGGCTTCTTCAGTGGTGAGAAAAAAGCTTCAACCGCAATATAGTCTACAATATATTAAAAAGAATATACATAACCATCGGAGTTATGACAAACATCCACACAATGAGCATAATAATCAAAAGTATAAAAGAATGCACCGGCTCACCGGCTAGATTTCAGGCTCACGGAGCTACTACCGCATATCAAAATGCACTATCAAATAACTTAGTTGGCCTATGCATCTGTGAAATTGTGGAGGATATAATGGGGATCAAATATCCATCTAAACATAGGTATAAATAAGCGCAAGTGAATTCATTACATTTTTACCAATATGGGGCAAAAAGAGAATCAGAGGGAGAGAGAACACCAGGTGATGTCAAGTCATTGAAATATATAAAAAAAATTAATTAAAAATGAATTTACCTGTAAATTATCAGAATTCAGGCAATAGAAGAAACAAAGCAGTTTTTGACTCAAATTGTTGATATACAATTCAGCCACTAGATGCCAGGAGAGGTCTCAAATTCATAGAATATTAGCTGTAAAAATCAAAACCATGCATTATACAGAATCACCCAGGTGACTGAGCAGCAGGGGCGGACTGACCATTTGGAAACTCGGGCACTGCCAGAGGGCCCGGGGTCAGTAGGGGGCCCCATGAGATGCCCCTGGTACCTTTTTCATAGGCTTTTTTGAGTTTGGGCAAGGACACAGGGGCCCCATGATCCCCTATTGCCAGGAGGCCCCATGAGTTGTCAGTCCGCCCCTGCTGAGCAGTCACCATTTTCCTGAAGCTCTCCCCTCAACACAAGTCTCTCAGATTACCTCCAGGGGGTCTCAAAACATCTCTTGAGATCCTACATGTGCACAGTTGATTAGCCAAAGGGCATATCTTTATTCCCACCCTATATTTATACCCTCCACGCTGGCCGACGTGTGACGTCATAGGCCGGGTACGGACTGTGATGAGCAGAAAGCATGTCAAAATGCACAACATGCCAAACCTTGAAGCGAATGGACTACAGAAACAGAAGACCATGTCAGATTCATCTCCAATCAGCCAGAAAGCTCAGGTTGCAGTGGGCATAGGCTCACCAAAATGTAAACGGTTGAAGACTGCAAAAATGTAGCCCGATCTTATGAACCTCAAGTTCTGCTGAGACACATGGCAGGCCATTTGCTGAATCTGAACCCAATAGAAGACCACTGGGATGTGGTAGGGCAGGAAATTTTGTAGCATGACTTTGCAGATGACCGATCTGCAGAAACTGCATGATGCAGTCATGTCATATTGGACCAGAATTTGAAAGTAATGTTTGTAAAATGTGGAACCCATGCCTTGTAAAAATTTGAAGCAGGTTTGAGACCAAAGGGAGGCCCTTCCAGTATTGGAATAGTGTTCCAAATAAATTGCTGAGTGAATGTACACTCACCGACCTCTTTATTAGGTACACCTGTTCAATTGCTTTGTAACACAAATTGCTAATCAGCCAATGACATGGTAGCAACTCGGTGCGTTTAGGCATCTAGAAATGGTGAAGACAGCTTCCTGAAAGTCAAACCGAGCATCAAAACGGGGAAGAAAGGAGATTTAAGTGACTTTGAGCGTGGCATGGTTGTTGGTGCCAGACGGGCTGCTCTGAGTATTTCAAAAGCTGCTGATATACTGGGATTTTCACGCACAACCATCTCTAGGATTTACAGAGAATGGTCCGAAAAAGAGTAAATATCCAGTGAGCGGCAGTTGTATGGACAAAAAAAAGGAGAATGGGCAGACTGGTTGCTGCGATATTCAGATGGTAGGGTCAGAATTTGGTGTAAACAACATGAAAGCGTGGATCCATCCTGCCTTTTATCAACACTTCAAGCTGATGGTGGTGTAATGGTGTGGGGGATATTTTCTTGGCACTAGCAAGGTGTACCTAAGAAAGTGGCCGGTGAGTATATATGCATGTTGGATGCTGCTACCATGAACAACTTTTTTTTTTTTTTTTTTTTTTTTTTTTGTGGATTGCTTTGTCATATTGAAAAGGAAAACAAATAAGGAATGTTGACAGGTCATTCCAATAATTTACACCAAAAGCAAATCTATTCTACTTTAGTATTGGTGCTAAATCCTTCAACTCTACAATAATAAAGACATCCCACCCTTTAAAAATGAAATGAAAGGCCTGTAATTCGATTAACCTTTTCCTGCAGTTTTAGCGCACATTTGCCTGCCCATGATGAGGGGGCCCTAATGCTGTTTGCATGCATACAGTATCTTACAGAAGTGAGTCCACCCCTCACGTTTTTGTAAATATTTGATTCTATCTTTTCATGTGACAACACAAGAAATGACACTTTGCTACAAAGTGATGTAGTGAGTGTACAGCTTGTATAACATGTAAATTTGCTGTCCCCTCAAAATAACTCAACACACAGCTGTTGATGTCTAAACCGCTGGCAACAAAAGTGAGTACACTCCTAAGTGAAAATGTCCAAATTGGGCCCAAAGTGTCAATATTTTGTGTGGCCACCATTATTTTCCAGCACTGCCTTAACCCTCTCGGGCATGGAGTTCACCAGAGCTTCACAAGTTGCCACTGGAGTCCTCTTCCACTCCTCCATGATGACATCACGGAGCTGGTGGATGGTAGAGACCTTGCGCTCCTCCACCTTCCATTTGAGGATGCCCACAGATGCTCAATAGGGTTTAGGTCTGGAGACATGCTTGGCCAGTCCATCACCTTTGCTCTCAACTTCTTTAGCAAGGCATTGGTCATCTTGGAGGTGTGTCTGGGGTCTTATGTTGGAATACTGCCCTGCGGCCCAGTCTCCGAAGGGAGGGGATCATGCTCTGCTTCAGTATGTCACAGTACATGTTTGCATTCATGGTTCCCTTAATGAACTGTAGCTCCCCAGTGCCAGAAGCACTCATGCAGCCCCAGACCATGACACTCCCACCACCATGCTTGACTGTAGGCAAGACCCATTTGTCTTTGCTCACCTGGTTGCCACCACATATGCTTGACACCATCTGGACCAAATCAGTTTATCTTGGTCTCATCAGACTACAGGACATGGTTCCAGTAATACACCATCTGGACCAAATCAGTTTATCTTGGTCTCATCAGACTACAGGACATGGTTCCAGTAATCCATGTCCTTAGTCTGCTTGTCTTCAGCAAACTGTTTGCGGGCTTTCTTGTGTATCATCTTTAGAAGAGGCTTCCTTCTGGGACGACACCATGCAGACCAATTTGATGCAGTGTGCGGCGTATGGTCTGAGCACTGACAGGCTGACCCCCACCCCTTCAACCTCTGCAGCAATGCTGGCAGCACTCATATGTCTATTTTCCAAAGACAACCTCCTGGATATGACGCTGAGCACCTGCACTCAACTTCTTTGGTTGACCATGGCGAGGCCTGTTCTGAGTGGAACCTGTCCTGTTAAACCTCTGTATGGTCTTGGCCACCGTGCTGCAGCTCAGTTAGGGTCTTGGCAATCTTCTTATAGCCTAGACCATCTTTATATAAAGCAACAATTCTTTTTTTCTGATCCTCAGAGATTTCTTTGCCATGAGGTGCCATGTTGAACTTCTAGTGACCAGTATGAGAGAGTGAAAGCAATAACACCAAATTTAACACACCTGCTCCCCATTCACATCTGAGACCTAACACTGAGTCACATGACACCGGGGAGGGAAAATGGCTAATTGGGCCCAGTTTGGGTGTGGGGTGTACTCACTTTTGTTGCCAGCGGTTTAGACATTAATGGCTGTGTGTAAAGTTATTTTGAGGGGACAGCAAATTTACATGTTATACAAGCTGTACACTGACTACGTCACATTGCAGCAAGGTGTCATTTCTTCAGTGTTGTCACATGAAAAGATAGAAAAAATATTTACAAAAATGTGAGGGGTGGACTCACTTCTGTGAGATACTGTATATCCATCAGCCAACTCCACTGTTCTTTGCTGAGTGCATGCCCACTGCTCACTCTAAGCCCAGTGACCGAGCTATCATTGACAACTCCTGGTCAACGTTTGATTGGGCAGGGGTCCTGATCTTATGACCACTTCAAAAGCCAATCACAGCAGTCACATGATCAGGAACTTCACCTCCATTGTCAGTTTTTCAGAACCCCTTTAAGGACCAGGGTGTAAGGAGGCTGTGCCATACTCTGCATGGTTGATGGACTTTTGGTTGTGTTGACTTCCTGTGAGTGAAGATGTCTTGATACTTTGTTTCCCCCAGGTTGTCTGGCTCTCTGATCATGAGAGAAATTTAGTCCGAAATGCTGGCTCCAGGATTCCAGCAGGCCTCCAGTGTGAAGAGAGATCCACAATACTTGGACAGAGACATCACCTTCATGAACCTGAGGTATACTGAGGTCGACCAAGAAGACATCAGGTGAGTGTCTTTCATGGTTCTCAGCAAGGGAATCTTACAGCTAAATTCCAGGTATGGTCATTTTTACATAGGTGCATTGGTCTAGCCTGGATCAATGTAAGTATGCATGTTCCATACCTGTGTGATCCCTGTGGAAGCTGGAAATACTTGTAATATGCTCCACAAGCTTTCACGTCCCATGCTGAGAATCTTCCCTCCTGCTTATTGAACACAGGAAGTTGCTGGCTCAGCAGGGGAGCCATTCAGAGAACACTGCATTTTCTGAATGAATACAAAGTGTTCTCTGAATGGACTAGGTGGTGATCATGATGCTAAAGTGAAAATGAAAATGCAAAGTGTTCTTCGAATGGCACCTGCGTTAAGAAAGCGACCTCCTTTGTTCACATTGCAGAAGGACAGTTGCTCAGCACAGGATCTGAAAGCTAGCGGAGATCGCTGTAGTTCTAGCTTCCACAGGGAACCCGCAGGTATGGCACATACAGTATATACTTACATGGATCCAAGTTTGACCAATGAGGCTATATAAAAATTGCCTTACCTAGAATTCCTCTTTAAAACGAGGTCAGCTGCTTTTTCCAGTTTGTTATACAGCAGTGCTGTGTTGTGGGGCTGCAACTAACAATTATTTTCATACTGACTGGGCTCTTCTAACATATGAATATGCTTTGATCTAAACCATTCCATTGTAGCTCTGGCTGGATGTTTTGGGTCGTTTTCATGCTGGAAGGTGAACCTCCAGCTTCCCTGTCGCTGCTGAAGAAAGGAATCTCCAAAACATGATGCTGCCACCACCATGTTTCACGGTGGGGATGGTGTGTTCAGGGTGATGTGCAGTGTTAGTTTTCCGCCACACAAAGCGTTTTGCTTTTAGACCAGAAAGTTCAATTTTGGTCCCATCTGACCAGAGCACCTTCTTCCACATGTTTGCTGTATCCCCCACATGGCTTCTTGCAAATAGGACATCTTATGGCTTTTTTTCAACAGTGATTTTCTTCTTGCCACTCTTCCATAAATACCAGATTTGTGGAGTGCACGACTAATAGTTGTCCTGTGGACAGATTCTCCCACTGTGGATCTCTGCTGCTCCTCCAGAGTTCCCATGGGCCTCTTGGCTGCTGCTCTAATTAATGCTCTCCCTGCCCGGCATGTCAGTTTGTGGACAGCCATGTCTTGGTAGATTTGCAGTTGTGCCATACTCTTTCCATTTTCAGATGATGGATTGAACAGTGTTCCGTGAGATGTTCAAAGCTTGTGATATTTTTTTTAAACCTAACCCTTCTTTAAACTTCTCCACAACTTTATCCCTGACCTATCTGGTGTGTTCCTTGGCCTTCATGATGCTGTTTGTTCAGTAATGTTCTAAAAAAAAAAACCTCTGAGGGCGTCATAGAACAGCTGTATTTATACTGAGATTAAACTACACACAGATGGACTCTAATTAGGTGACTTCTGAAGGCAATTGGTTCCCCTAGATTTTAGTTAGGGGTATCGGACTAAAGGGGGCTGAATACACATACACGCCACACTTGGGCTATTTTTTTTTTTATAACCTACAGTATTCTGGCCATACAAAAACAAATGTTTCCTTTTGGTTTTAAAAGCATTCGTTCATTTTTTCTAATTGTTAATGCGGTCAAATTGATGTTTGTTTTCAACCACAGTGATGGGAAAATTCAAAGGAGCAAAATAGAAAACTCTTCTCAATCCAACAAATTTTCTGACAGTATATGTGGGTTTTTCGTTCAGAAATTACACTCATTTTAAAATTGAATTTTAAAAAGCAAGTGCTATTTTTGAACGACATTCGTCCATTCATTCATTTTATCATCTGTCATGATGGGGTAAAAAAAACACAAAATAATGCCCTTTACAGTACAAAAACAGTAGATAATTACTACTCTAAGGGGTTAATTTATACTGGTAAACAGTGAAAGTAATTGTAAGTATATTGTATATATATATATATATATATATATATATATATAGTACAGTGGGGATCGAAAGTTTGGGCACCCCAGCTAAAAATTTGTATTAATGTGCGTATAGAAGCCAAGGAAAGATGGAAAAATCTCCAAGAGGCATCAAATTACAGATTAGACATTCTTATAATATGTCAACAAAAGTTAGATTTTATTTCCATCATTTACGCTTTCAAAATAACAGAAAACAAAAAATTGGCGTCTGCAAAAGTTTGGGCACCCTGCAGAATTTATAGCATGCACTGCCCCCTTGGCAAAGCTGAGACCTGCCAGTGTCATGGATTGTTCTCAATCATCGTCTGGGAAGACCAGGTGATGTCAATCTCAAAGGTTTTCAATGCCCAGACTCATCTGACCTTGCCTCAACAATCAGCACCATGGGTTCTTCTAAGCAGTTGTCTAGAAAACTGAAACTGAAAATAGTTGACGCTCACAAAGCTGGAGAAGGCTATAAGAAGATAGCAAAGCGTTTTCAGATGTCAATATCCTCTCTTTGGAATGTAATTAAGAAATGGCAGTCATCAGGAACAGTGGAAGTTAAAGCAAGATCTGGAAGACCAAGAAAAATATCAGACAGAACAGCTCGCAGGATTGTGAGAAAAACAATTCAAAACCCACGTTTGACTGCAGGATCCCTCCAGAAAGATCTGGCAGACACTGGGGTTGTGGTACACTATTCCACTATAAAGAGATACTTGTACAAATATGGTCTTCATGGAAGAGTCATCAGAAGAAAACCTCTTCTACGTCCTCACCACAAAAATCATCGTTTGAACTTTGCAAATGAACATATAGACAAGCCTGATGCATTTTGGAAACAAGTTCTATGGACCGATGAGGTTAAAATTGAACTTTTTGGCCGTAATGAGCAAAGGTACGTTTGGAGAAGAAGGGGCACAGAATTTAATGAAAAGAACCTCTGTCCAACTGTTAAGCATGGGGTTGGATCAATCATGCTTTGGGGTTGTGTTGCAGCCAGTGGCACAGGGAACATCTCATGAGTAGAAGGAAAAATGGATTCAATAAAATTTCAGCAAATTTTGGATGGTAACTTGATGCCATCTGTGAAAAAGCTGAAGTTAAAGAGAGGATGGCTTCTACAAATGGATAATGATCCTAAACACACCTCGAAATCCACGGGGGATTACATCAAGAGGCGTAAACTGAAGGTTTTGCCATGGCCTTCACAATCTCCTGACTTCAACATAATTGAAAATCTATGGATAGACCTTAAAAGAGCAGTGTGTGACAGACAGCCCAGAAATCTCAAAGAACTGGAAGACTTTTGTAAGGAAGAATGGGCAAAGATACCTCAAACAAGAATTGAAAGACTCTTGGCTGGCTACAAAAAGCGTTTACAAGCTGTGATACTTGCCAAAGGGGGCAGTACAAGATATTAACTCTGCAGGGTGCCCAAACTTTTGCAGACGCCATTTTTTTGTTTTCTGTTATTTTGAAAGTGTAAATGATGGAAATAAAATCTAACTTTTGTTGACATATTATAAGAATGTCTAATCTGTAATTTGATGCCTTTTGGAGATTTTTCCATCTTTCCTTGGCTTCTTTATGCACATTAATACAAATTTTTAGCTGGGGTGCCCAAACTTTCGATCCCCACTGTGTGTGTGTGTGTGTATATATATATATATATATATGTGTGTGCGTGTGTATGTGTGTGTGTGTGTGTGTATATATATATATATATATATATGTGTGTGTGTGTGTGTATGTGTGTGTGTGTGTGTGTGTGTGTGTGTGTATGTGTGTGTGTATATATATATATGTGTATATGTGTGTATGTGTATATATATATATATAATGTGTACAGGGTATGTGAACTGGGAGTCAGAGATGAAGCTACATGAAGGGTGCAGGGGAGAGTATGTATCTTTTATGTTAAAGTAGTACTAAAGGCTGAGACTTCTTTGCATGGATATAATCATTTTAAATATAATACACAATATTGGTAAACTTTGTAATTGTAATACCTTATATTACCTCCAGTCTATCAGCCTCCAGCTTCTCTGGGTTCAAATGTGGATGTTTCCTGCACAAAGCCCTTAAAGTGATTTGTAAACCTTAGATTTTTTTTTTTTTAGACTACAAACTTGTCATACTTACCTGGTCTGTGCAATGGTTTTGAACAGAGCAGCCTTGATTCTCCTCTTCTGGGGTCTCCCACTGGCCCTTCTGGCTTCTCCTGCCCTCAGAGTGCCCCTATAGCAAATCGCAAAGTATAGTATAGAGTACCCCTGTGGCAAAGTAAAAAAACTTCTACCTTTACAATCACTCACTCCCTTCTCCTGCCCAGAATTTTATGGCCCATGAGGCATTGCTCCTCAAACATTCGCAAGTTCTCAGGCACTTACTGACAAGTATGGATGGTGTACTGAGCTGTATGTGCGCTGCACTGTGTTTTTTGATATGTAATAAAAATAATGCAATCTGTATGCAGGCCAACTAATCGGCTGACAAACTAATCGATTGTGAAAAGAGCTGACAACTATTTTCATCATCGATTATGTCGATTAGTTGTTTCAGCCCTACTGTGCCTGTGCTGGCCCAACTCCTCCACCCCTCCCCTCACCTCCCTACACAACCTTTTATGTAGCTGCTGGAGTAAGAGCAAAGTAGAACACTATTGAGTGTCACTTAAAGCGGAGCTCCACCCAAATGGGGAAGTTCAGCTTTAAGCCTTTGTCCCCCCCGCTCCCCATTAAGGATTGGCACCTAGGCGATCGGAAGCGGAAGTTGTCCTCCCTCCTCATAGTCTTGTGGGACACGTGACAGCTCCCAGAAGACTATGGGGCCAGTCACAAAGCACAGCGCTTCTCGCGCATGCGCAGTGGGCACACGGCTGTGAAGTCGCAAGCTGTCACAGCCGGGTGCCCACACTAAAGATACCGGCACCAGGGAGAGAAGACGGCCGGTGAAACCAGCAGCGGTGAGGACGCCGCTGGACCGAGGGACAGGTAAGTGGCTGTATTTTAAAAGTCAGCA